CTGGACAAGTAGCTTGCCCAACACTGGAGACGGTCACCACATCTTAGCGTGACTGAATAAGAGTACAAAAGGCTAAATTCACAGAGACATGGAGAGTTTAGTACATGAGTTTAGTATTGATGAGCTTGACCAGCCTGCACAGAAACATAAACCCAACAGAAAAGTTTTGGGATGAGATTCAGAGTAACATCTGGTTATGAACCCAAATGTGCTCCCAGAGGAATGGTTAAGCCTTAATAGTTGGGGTTTACAGATGGTTTCAAAAAAGTAAAATTGTTTCTTTATCCCTTTCAAAAAGCATTCCAAAGCTAATTAACATCTACGTTCTAAAAAAAAAAAAAAAAGAAATGGTAACAAATAGATGCCTGTAAAAAACATTCACTAAATGCGTGTTTTGGCCTACCGTTGACAAGACGATGACCAGAAACTCTTGACCTTGGAACTCCTCCACTGAGCCCACTTTGATGTCAGACAAGCCCCTTTTGCTCAGCAGCAGTCGAATCTTCTCACACTGGACAGAATATAAAAACCAAACCTTAAAGTCTACAAAGTCCATTGACCTGCTAGTTTATTTCCAGTAAGATCTTATAATGTCCGTTAATAGTCAGAAAATAATCCAAATTTTGCATTATGTGGTGCACACACACACCTGTTTCCTATAGGGAGCGATGACGCCGATGTCAGAGAGGGGCACAGGGTTGTAGAGCTTTGTTGCCAGTTCAGAGCAGTACATCATCACCTGCACAGCTTCTGTTGGGTTGAACCATGATGGGTTGCTGCACTCCCTCATTTCTTCACCCTGAAGAAAACAAAACTGGGAACTTTCTGTACCTGCACTTCAGTAAGACTGGTTAAAAGAACACTTTGATTTTATCTAAACATTACCCTGACGCCATGAAAGAGGAGGGGGAAGCCTTTTTTTGGCAGCCCTTTCCATTGGCACAGGGAATCCACAATATCCCTCTGAGCTTTAAAGCACAGCTCCCCCATGTAAAAGAGCTTGGAGGGCAATGCAAGCAGGGCCTCATGAGAGCGATAGTTGTAGATCAACTTAGTCACCTGTTAAGAGAAAAGCATGCTTATATACAGATCCCTTAGATGGTCATTTATGTGGAATAATAAATTTTAACGTTAAGCCACTAGCATCAGTATTACTGATTATTACTATAATTTCATTTATATTTCCCAATAAGAGAACTAACCAGTTTAGGGTTATATCCCCAGTCGTGCTTGGCGTACAGGGGGTTAGCCATCAGCCTCTCCAAAAGAGACACCCCCAGCCCAAAGGCTGCGGCCTGCTTGGACTTCACTATGGGACCCAGTTGGCAGGGGTCTCCAGCCAGCACTATCTAAGCAAGGGACGACAAACATAATTCAGCAATAAAGTCAAGTTCATCTCCTATTTTCCTTTAATAGAAACAAGCTGGTATGACTTTGAAAACAAATTTAATGGACACAAACCAGAATGAACTTAAATATCCCCCACAATAAAAATAAAAGATCAATTTGTTCAGTTCAGACAGCTAAATATTCATAGTAGAAAAGCACAACTTCAGCCAGGTGTTTACATTCACTCAGAACGTATTAACTGAAGGCTTCTTAGGATACAGAGGAAGGTTTTCTCAGGAGCTGTTATACAAATACTATAAATATGTTCTACCAGTTCTTATGACATTAGTAAACCCTAAAGATGGAAAATGAAAAGGCCTTGCAGCATTCATTTGGTATCCTTGTTTTCCTTTTTCCTAAGGGGCATTTAGATCTGACTAAAGATTTCCTCAGTCCCTCATGCCTACTGCTCCACTTTATTCAAACCTTCCCAACAACCTCTATAAGTTGTTACATTCATGCTGATTTTGCGCAGTTTCTGTCTTAGTCAAATAACCTGCTGCTGTCATTTTGCACATCTCTGAAGTTGCTGCTATTTTCAAATATCCATTACTGTAGAAATGTCCATAGCTGAATATTGGTAATTTATTCCCCAGGTTGACTGTTTTATATTGTTAAAACACTTGCAGTACAGTATTTTATTGCTTATCTTTTACCTTTTCACTACTATGTTATTCTTATTAAAAAATGTTTTCTAAGATCCACATTTTAGATCTAACCTGCCCATCCATCTCTGAAATGAGGCTGATAGGGATCAGAGACTCTGGCTCAGTGGCTTGACCAGCTTCATCCAGAAACATGTGGGTAAAATGTCCCACTCTGGAAGGAAACAAAGTCAAAATAAACTGATTAATACTTTAGTTTTAAACATATATTCATTACCTTTGAATGCCATTTATAACTTTGTTCTTACTGTAGTCCAACATTATAAAACATGGCAGCACTGCTGCAGGTGCTGACAACAATCCTGTGGAAAGCAGCATGACGGAGGTCTTCTCCTGCCCGAGAGTAAGGCTGCAACACTTCAGGAATGGCCTAAGGAGGAACAGTCAAAACAATCTGCCATATGAATAAATAATACTGTAGATAAAATGACATGCATATGTATATACAAAATCCTTGAACTGAGCTTTGATTGCTTTGAAAATGAGAATCCAAAAGGGAGCGTTCTGTATTCCACTATAAGTTACAGCAAAGCTTCTTTCCCACTGAGAATACCAGGTTACGGCGTGTTTTTCAAACATGGGACGACCTGCAAACAATCGCCGTTTGGCTCCCTTCCCAATGGCAAAAAAAGCTGGTCTAACCTCCCTGCTAGAAAGCTGAGTTGCTTCTTTCTGTCTCTGCGCAGCTGGTGTCACAATCACGCTGGGTTAGCTTTGATTATGTCACCAATGCGACAGAAATCAAGAAAGTAAACAATTGAACTTGTAAGGAAGCCAGGGCGTAGTGCGTGTGCTTCATTCTCTCACTCTTTTGTCCCTCCTAATCCCTCTGACCAGCGCTGCACCATGTTTATCGAATGTATAGAGTTGTTTCGGCTTGTTAGATCAGAAGCCACTGGTGTGTGTTGACGTCCACAGGGTCACATAATTTTGCGGGTCAACCCGGCTTTGGTGTTCATACAGCATGCCAATCAGAGCCAAGGCGTTTTTAATTCGGGTCGCTTGCCAAGTGGTTTGACCCGGGTAGACACGCATCAGTGAACTTTTTCCAGTGCCACTAAAAGCTGATTGTTTCTGGGGTTTTTTTTTGGTTTTTTTTTAGCAAGTGGGAAAGAGGTATTAGAGTTTCAGTCTAAATAGGAATCTCTCATTTAGACACGGAAATGTGGCTTGTACCTATTTGGAAATTAGTTGAAGTAGCTTAAAACAAAAAAAAAAAACTCATTTTTCAACTCAAGACCTGTCACATATGCTCAACCAGGTTTGTTTTTGTTTTTTTTCCCTGGTCCTTTAAAATATGATATAGCAGATAATCGTAATACCTTAGCCCTGGCAGTAGTCATTAGGAAATGTCAGCTTTTTCAAGCCAATTTAAAAAACATGCCTTTCAGTAAGAGATATCAGAGTAAAGGCAGCTTATACAATTAGAACTTAAGCTTTTACACATGCACCTTATTGTGTTCACTGATCAGAGCATGTGAACGGTGCGCCTGGACACTCCACTCAAAATCCGCTCTGCACCTTAATTTTCATGTCGCTCCGGCGAAATCGCTCCATGCTCCCTCAAATTTTCAGGAGAAGAAATTTTCTGATATTTTTCTTTCATGTAATTATTCCAGGGCCCCTGAACACACTGCGTTTGATTTAATGTGACCCATACCTGAGTATTGTCTTATTTAACTGGCTTTTAAATGATCTCAATTAAATTAACCGTTTCCTAGCTGTGAACGTAACACCTTGCTCCATTCAAGTTGCCTCGCGTTTCCCATTTACTCATTAATTTATTTGCAAATGAGATAACATAATGC